GAGAGAGAGAGAGTGATGCACAGGAAGTCTCTTCAAAATGCCATTTTCAGCCGTGGCCTCTGAAGTATACCCTCAGCGGGACTAAAACGCCACTTTTCTTTGCTATAAAAGTCTAAAAAATATTTCTCTACTCCCACGAGTCCACTTAGTTTGAGGTGGGAAGAGGTACCCTGCTGAAACACACAAATGAAAAAAAACTCCTATTTAGCCTCACGGTGACACTGTGGTACTTAAACCACCAATTTCACACTTGGGGTCCAACCTCAATTTCCTTAACAATTATCCAAATGACAAGTGTTTACTTTGAAAAGCCTTCCCTGTCGCCACGAGTGTTTTTTAAAAGGCGCCCAATTATGCACTTCCTCCATTTTCTAATTGTCAAAACGGGGTATAATTTTAAACTTTGTGCTTTATCTACATTGAGAAAAATGGGGCGGTTGGTGGCTAAGTGGGTAGAGGTTCGATCCCCAGCTCCTACTGTCAACGTGTCGAAGTGTCCTTGAGCGAGACACTGAACCCCAAGTTGCTCGCCGAGCTCCTAAATGATGGTTAAAGTCAGACGTCAAATGTCCTGTATGTATATGACAATGGTAATAAGGTTTTTAAGTTATTACTGGTTCATTTTTTACAATGTTGATGCTAAAATGTGAGAACTACCTCACTGTCATGTATCATACTTCCAATTTTTGACTGTAAGTCGTAGCTCACTTGGTCTTCGTCTCCTTGATTCCTTTGTCTACCCGCCCACTGCGAGCTGACACGGTTTCCCTCGTGCCCGGAGAGCTGCCGGGTTCAGCCAGGCAGCGAGCAGGATGCCGGTGGAAGCATCCAGTGTCGGTGTTGTGTTTATGGTGGCTTACTCAGCTGTTCAGACCATCACAACCAACCTGCAGCAGGCTGTTTACACAGCAAGAGAATGGAGTGAAACATGTAATAATGGGAGAAAACATGATTTGAGCTGATGCACTCTCACAACATGTTTTACTCTTTGTTATTAAAAACTTTAAACTGGTTTTACTGAAAGTAACTGCACAAGGACTTAATATGGGCCTTGGTTTTGGGGTTTATGTTATGAGTTGTTACTCACCCAACAAACATCTTATCAGTCATGAGTCTCTCAGCCAAAGCCAAACACCCAGCATCTGTCTTTGATTGCAGTAGGGACAGTTATGAAAACGGGTCGGGACACAATGATAATACTTTGTGTTTATGAGGTTCTGTGAATTGAAAATGAGCATTGTTTTCACCAGATCAATGTCTTTAACTCCCTCCCACTCCAGGTGATTACTGCAAGGTGAACGTGTGCATTAACGGTGGAACCTGTGTGACCAGCGCAGGATCTCCGTTCATCTGCATCTGCCCTGATGGCTTCACTGGAGACACCTGCAACGAGACCGAGACTGGTAAGCCCATCTTCTGAGGTCAAAATGAGTTTCACATTCGAGTGTTGCTGGTTGAACAACGTCAATACAGACTGATAAATCACTTATTGGTGATCTGGTTAAAAAAAAATGAATGAGTTGTAGCAGCTCTGAAGCTAAATAGTCAGGCATTTGAAATGAGAGCAGATTGACAAAACTGAGATGCTGACCTAAACCTCGGTTAAACTTCCCTCTCCTTTCTCTCCTGTGTCTTCCTCCCGGTCCTAAAGGGCCGTGTAACCCCAACCCGTGCAAGAACGATGCCACCTGCGAGGTGACGGGCCAATCCCGCCGAGGTGACGTCTTCAGCGAGTACGTCTGCAAGTGCCAGCTGGGCTTCGACGGAGTCCACTGCCAGGACAGTGAGTCTGTTCTCCCTCCTCAGTAGTTTTATCAGGATTATATCGATAGCTATTAATTAACTATCAGTGTTTTGGGGCCATGTCATTTTTTTATTAAGTGTGTAAAAACACTGTTATTAATCACAATCGGTATTCTTGATCATCTCAGGAAAACTAGTGGCTACAGTACATCGTCACTACTTTCAGCTACGGCACAAGACAAGATTAAAAGTCTCACTGTTGCTGATTCTCTTGTATCCTTCTTTTACGGCGGATAAACATTCCTATACAATTAATTGGCTGAGTCTAATGAGGTCCCGGCTAATCTGTCTAACCCGACACATTAACATGGACACAGCTGTTTGTGTGAGAGTGGCCACCAGACAGGCAGCTGTCGTCCTTATGTGAGCTTCATTCACACGTCACTCAGACCAGGTTGGTTTAATCAGGGTCAGCCAGAGAGAGAGAGAAGCAAGGGTGGGAACATGTGCTGCGCTCCTCCAACTGCCTCTAGCCCTGCACACAGAGACAGATGGCTACTGTTTGCATGAGAAGGCGGCAGAAGAACAGTGGCCAAGTCTGCACAAAGAAGTAACTTAGCAGGAATCAAGTGGGACCTTTTGTTTCATCATTGTGTGCCTTTTTTATCCTAGGTGTCCAAGGGGCAGATTTAAGTACGAGAACAGGTAAATTGGAAAGATGTGATTGTGTTTTACACTGTGGTCTATTTTCCCTTCTTGGATCCAGGTGCACTCTGTTCTCTTGGCTGCATGTGGAGGCACACATACAACATTCACTCACTCACACACACACACACACACACACACTCTCTCTCTTTCAGACAGAGAAACCGAGGTCAACACTATCTCTCCTTGTTTATGAGTCAAGGCCAGCAGCAAAACCAGCAGTGAGATCACATTTTAGATACTGTCTTTTTATCAGCTCACCCACACAGACAGGAAGACGTCTTTTCACACAAAACGATTTCAACTCCCTCACGCCTCATCAGTGAATCTATGCCTTCTGAGCATAGATTCTAAGTTGCAGTCTATTTTAATCTAGAGTTCTCCAGCCCATATTTACGCTCCAAACGTTCTAATTTCTTTGTGTGTTTTTCTTTCACCCTTGAGAACCACAAATCACAGCTCATCAAAATCCATACGTTCACAAGTCCTTTGGCAGGTACAGTTATCTTAGCTACCAGAAAATGAGCCCTCTGCAGAGCAGGCATTTACACTAATTAGATAATGCCTCAAGGATAACGATGAGGGGAATTTATTAGACCATGTTGGTTTATGAGACGCCCCCTGAGGGCCACTGGGTCAGGGAGGTGCCCCTCAAGTCACAGCTGCTGATGACTGTGTTGTGACACTTTAAGTGCTCTCTAATTTGTGTGTGTGCGGGGGGGGGGGCAAGGAATGAGGCCCATGGCAGCCAGCTTCTCTGGTTTGTGTGAAACGGAAGAGACAAACAGTAGAAAAGCAGTGACTGTGGTGAAGCCGGAGAGGCGTCGTGTTGTTAAACATTTAACTGGCGTCCTCACACTCACTTCCTACATGGAAGTGCACATTGAGGCTGACATATTGGGGCAGAAGTTGATTTAACAAGTTCAGAAATGTCACTATAAATGCCCCAAACGCAGAGTCTGACATGTAGGTGTTGACAAACTGGAGCCAGATGTAGAAGAATGTTCTCACACTAACCACTGCGTCTCGGAACTATTAATAGAGAAACGCAGCAGTGGAAGATGGACTAGTCACTACTGTCTGTGTTAAGAAAGAAGTTAACAACAAAGAATAAATGTGTTTCTTTGCTGAATAGATTTCTCCTTAAAGGACTAAAAGCCTTCTGAGAAACAGATCAAGGGAGCAAAAAAAAAACTCTACTGGAAAAAGATGAATAATGTGTGCGCTGCTCAACCCACACGAACAACCGCACACAGCTCCTGATCTCATATACAGACTGTTTAGCATTAACACACACACGCACGGTTCATCCCTCGTGCCGGTCCAGCCAACAGAAAATGGTGCTCTACGCTGAGCGCTAGCAACGTCAGCGCTGCTACTGTTGCTGGGTGGAAAAGTGAACGTGGAGGCGGAACGGGGAATTAAGTCTGCCCTCCTGACAATGTCGCACTCGCTACTCGGGTCTGACTGCAGCACTTCAGACTGTCCTGTCAAATTGGCCTAAAAGCCTTTATGGGTTTGCTGAGAAGGAGTTTGTGTGTAGAGAGAAGGAGAGGGAGTGAGAGCGATGTCAATAGCTGTGAGCTTCACTCTGGGCCAAAGCAGATGGATGGAAACAGTCTTATTAATCCCAGATTTTCACAACTGATTAAAGCAGTTATTTTGCTTCTTGTGTGTTTTGAGTTTGCTACCCTTTCACTTGTTTTGGTAGACAGTTTTGAGCTCCTCCCAGAATGTGGTAGTGTGGGCACCCTGGGCTCCATGCCCCCTGTGGAGTAGTGTGTGTGTGTGTGTGTGTGTGTGAGATATACGTGTGTGTGTGTGCTGTCTGGTATGCATTTCCTGGTTTACTAAAGTCTGCATTAAACAAACCAAGTTGTCCCATTAGATCCTCAAAGCTGCTAACCTGGAATCACAACATGATCTCAAGTAACAGAAGCTGAACCTTCACATGTAAACATTAAAAAGATATCAGCAACAGACTTATAAGGGCTGTAACAACAATTCATCACAGAGGTTGTTCTCACAGATATGTAATAAGTTGGAAGGATATGTGTTTAGAAAAACAGTTAATTATTGAGCCTTGCCATCAAGTTGGTCTAAATTTGAAATAATCTTACAGTAAAAGATTAATAGTAAACTCATTTATCCAGACTCACTCGGTATATATATATTTGAAAAAACAGCTCTGCAGAACATGAAAATTGTACAAAATGTGGTTAATTAATTTGTAAAATCTTTTTTTTTTTTTTTTCATAATGGGTTCACTGAACGTTTTTATCAGCATTCTGTTATCCACTCATAGAGTTTAAGTTCTGCATATTCACATCTGTGACTCTTCTGTGGACCACGAAGCAGTTTGGGGGTTGAGCGCTTTGCTTGATATCCTTCAGAAACTATACCGACCACATTTGTGTAGATATGTAACCATCATGTGGTGTAGAATAACTCCACGTTCAGCAGGGGGAAATCCAACATTTAAAACTTCCAAGACTCCTTTTTTTTTTCTTTAAACCACAAGGACATAAAGTCATGACTTTGTCAGTTTGATGACTCTTTATTTCTCTAACCAAGAAGTTCCGTATTTGTGTGTCACAAAGAAAATAATCTATACTGTAGAAAATATTCCTTCTGAGTTTTGTGAGCTGATCTGGCAATGATAATAATAAATGTACAGTTCAAGTTGCACAGATGCAATAATCTAGATCCTGTAGACGCAAAGCTATCACTTACCAGTGCACAGGATCTGATGTCACCATGCCTCGATCTATTCAGTGAGCGCTTAGAAACACGTGCTCTGTAAATATACTTTATGACATCAGAAGTTTCATTTCAGAGCGCTGCATCCCTCCAGCAGAGAGGGACAACCTGGCAGAGATCCGATTCAAAGCTATTCTGGGTGCCACTGGCTGCAGGCAGTGCACAACAAATTACACATCTGGAAACCTTTGGACCTTTTTATTTATTTAATAATGCCGTTGTGGTTTTATCTGGTGGCCATAATGCCTTTAGGGCTACCCCCTTGGTTGCTTTACCATGGCAACGTGAGAGCGGTGATTTAAAAACATGCAATTTCATTGGTTGGAAGAAAAGACTAACTTTTCTTCTATGCAACAGTCTCATTGTAAATTGTGTGACTAAAAGGTGGAAGGTTGATGTTCATAACAATTATAGCATAATTTTAGCACTTAAATGACTGTATTTAAGAGCTAAATGTATGGTTTAACTGGACATCACACTTGTGGGGACAGAAGTTTCTTTACCAACTTGTCTTACTTTCTCACACACACACAGAGTTACTGCTCTTTATATTAGTCTCGTCAAACCATAAACAACACGTATGGTTTACTTTCAGAACTCTGTTTAAGTACCTTGTGGGCCGAGGCCTTTATTTTTTGGCCCACATCGTTTAGGCTGCAGCACGGATCCTGGACTTGCATAGCTTTGCTGATCACCATATGCACTGCCATCTGACCTTGGCTTTGCATCGATCCGGATCAGGTTTCAAACGAGACGCGTGACATTTGTATTGGTTTTTCGCTTCATGCTGAGACAGATATTGACTCTCTGAATGTTGTGATAGTGTGCTGTTTCCGTTATGAGCTATAGGGTTTGTTGGATAGAGGCCACGGCGTGGTGGTCTGTCCAGCACTTGTTCCCCCCCCCCCCCCCCAAAAAATCGATATGCAAACAGCGTGCTGATAATGGATACTGCTAAATATGCAAGCAGCTGAGCTGATTAGATTTTAGAGCTACAAGTTTTTCATGCTTCCACCCATTTTATTTCATGGTTCCAGTGAATCAGAGTGTATACATTTCAAGCCTGCGTTGCCCCGTTAATAAACAAATCTACAAGCCTTTGCAGTCCCGATGCCTCTACCTGTTCTACCCGTCTCAGGACTAGGGTTGCAAAGGGTCCCTTTCCAAGGGAAGTTAAGTTTCAGTCTTCAATGTTCCCGTAATTTTCAACCCTACTCGGCACTAGTGCATGTTTGACCCTCTGTGGTTGTCAGATAGATGGATTAGACCATGGAGCTGACCAGAATGTTTGTTCCTTCTGGTGCCCAATCCTCTTACTGGAGAAGGAGCCACCAGTTGAGGCATGACGGGAGTTTCCTTCCATCAGTCTGTCATCAATTACTGATTTACGTCCCTGGGTTGTAGGGGGGTTATTCTCTGACGTGGGAGAGAGATCTTGGTCTGTACGCCACAATGTGAGGAGGACATCATGGAGCATTTTAACATTTTATCCATTCAGACTCTTAAAGGTGCAATATACGGCATTCAGAGTATTAATGTAGCAGCAAACAACTATTGTCTATGTAAAGATAAAATGGAGGTGTGCGTGTGTGTGTGTGTGTGTGTGTGCGCGTGTGTGCGTGCGCGTGCGTGTGTGTGCGTGCGTGCGTGCGTGCGTGCGTGCGTGCCAAGCTTTCCCTTCCTTTGTTTACATAGCTGGGCCAATCATGCTTTTAGTGCATGTATGCCTCTGTTAGCATGCCCCGCTGGCTAGCTCACAGCTTAATCAGCCGTTACAGCTGATAACGTTGTGGAAGCGTAGCACCCAGCCCCAGTTTCCCTCTCAGGTAAACAGTTAGCTGTGTCAGCACTGTTGCCGTAGTTTGCGCTGTTAGCACCGTGAGCTGTAGAGACCACCTTTAAAGTCTGAAGTCAGGAATGCTTTAGAGACCAACTCAAGTCCTGCATACTGAAGTTCTTTATATTTGGGCACCATCCAGAAAATGAATAATTCATCTTTTTTTTATTAAATGGCAGTCTGATTTTAATTAAACTTTAAGAAATTATGTGTACAGGAGTAACTTTCAGCCCTTTGATCTCTTCTAGTTAATAACTGACTCAACTGTGGTCATTAACCACCAAGTCTTAATCCAAAGCTGACCTAACCCAATCGGTACTCTACTGCCTTTATTATAGTTTGTACCAGAGTTTTATTTTACCCCCTGTTACTGTGAGTCAGTATCCTAATTCATAATACTTAAAATAATATATTGAAGTTCCTGTGGCCTTAACAAAGCCGAAGATACTATGAATACATCAGCATCTCTGGATACAGACGGAGGTAGCTGCCACCTATTCATTTGTTTCAAGACCGTGAGTTGATCAAAGAGCTTTTTATTTACACCTTGATGTTTCATATATTCCACGGCTGCTGCTGCTAGAAATGGTCTGTTTTATGTGATTTTAGTATAAGCTCCCAGAGCCAGAAGGGTCATGACTGTGGACCCTCGTTATCTAGACTCTGTGGATACACATTTCAAAATGACTGTAATCCTCCTGTGACTGTGTGAAAATGAATGTTTGGACACGGAGCTATTTATGGAGAGAGAGCATATGGGTAGGGAGATGCTGCCATGTGTGCGTTTGTTGGATAGAAACATAACATCGGTGCGCCTGGGTTGTTTGCGTGCGTTTCCTTCCATAATAACAGCCGCTGAGGATTAAAGCTTCAGAGTCTGATTGGAATCCTCTTTTTTGTTTTTGGTGTGCAGTCATCTATTCAACCAGCTAAATTTGTGCCTTGTTCCCAATGCCTATGCGGTCAATATAGAGCGTTCAAAGCTGCTTCAGTCACGCTGACGGTTCTTGTGGGGGAGAGATGAAAAGGACTTTCATTTTGATGATTCGTTTTCCTCCTTTCTGACTCATTTAACAGAGCTGGACAGATAGTGTTTGTGAGGGCGCCATCAAGAGGCAATACGAAGAGTTACAAGACGATTAAACGTTCACTACATGGCCCGTGATGACACTCAACTCTTTTTAATGCAGCACGTATCATGTTCATTAATTACTCCACATCCCGATCACATGATCTCCTGGTGCAGCTGATTGACGAGAAACAAGCTCTCCTCTCGAAGCCTTTTCTCTACTACAGCTCCAGTCCTGTTGGCATGACTTCAACTAACCTCCGTGTGGAGCAGACGGAGAAATATCCAACCCCGTCTCTTAAGCATGACATGTGATCTTCACTCACACTTCTAACTAACTGTGATCTGCTTTCAGACTGGCTGTTAACACTCGACCAGTAAGCTGTTTATGTTTATGACTTCAGTAAGTGATTCATCTCTCTGTAGATGTGAACGACTGCGCCAGCCAGCCGTGTGGGAATGGTGGCACCTGCAGGGATCTGGAAGGAGATTTCAAATGCCACTGCCCGTCCCCTTATGTGGGCAAACGTTGCCAACTGCGTAAGTGTGACCCGCACCACTCCTAGACGGATGGACGGACAAATCATGTGACCAATTACTGTCACCTTAATCCCCCTCATTACTTTCATCTGAAAATAAACCTTTTAATCAGGTGTTTGAAAGGTTACTGTATGCCAAATTTGCATCAGGGCCACAGTGGGAGATCTTACACTGATGTCAGAATCTGCCCCCCCCCCCTTTCCTCCACAGGCTGTATTTCTCTGCTCGGCATGGAGGGAGGGGGCATCGCTGAGTCCCAGATCTCGGCCTCATCAGTCCGTTACACTATGCTGGGCCTGCAGCGCTGGGGTCCCGAGCTCGCCCGCCTTCACAACAAGGGGCTGGTTAACGCCTGGAGCGCCGCCACACACGACAAGAACCCATGGATACAGGTGACGCATACAAATTAACATTATTTTGGTAGATTGCTAGACATGTAGACAGATACTGTACATGTATAGATGGAAATGTTTGGATGTATACTAAATCTAGACGCATTTATTTTTTGTAGATCTACCAGGTTAGAAATAATTTTCCTGCCATTAAATAATTGTGTGTTTTATTTTGAATTTGTGATCCCCACATTTCCTGCCTTCATTTTATGTCACTTTCATGTCACTGTTTCAGTTGAACCTTTGGATAGTTCTTCTGAAAAAGAAACTCTGGCAAACTCAATTGTTCTAATGCTGGCTCTCTCTCTCCTTGATTTCAGATCAACATGCAAAGAAAGATGCGCTTCACAGGGATCGTGATGCAGGGCGCCAGTCGTATTGGGACAGCCGAGTTCATTAAGGTCTTCAAGGTGGCCTCCAGCCTGGACGGCAAGACGTACACCATGTACAGAACAGACGGACAGAGGAAGGACAATGTGAGGAGATGCATCAACAAAACACAGTGCACTATAGTCCATAAGTCTCTTTTAAACTCATATTTTGTCATTTGGTCATATGGAAAGATGTGCAAGTCAAGATACATCGCCCTTAATACACATAACTATGTTTCTAAAAGACTGAAATTAACCACTAGAGGGAGCTGTGACAAACACAAACGCACTGTACAGTACACAAACAAACTAACTTGCTAACTCCTCCTTTCTTTGTAGGTGTTTGTCGGAAACGTGGACAACGACGGCACCAAGACCAACCTGTTCGACCCCCCAATCATTGCCCAGTACATCCGCATCATCCCTGTGGTGTGTCGCAAGGCCTGCACCATGCGCATGGAGCTGGTGGGCTGTGAACTCGACGGTAAACTCGCACAGAAAACGCACGACATACGACATACACGCGCTGCTTGGTCATCCGTACACAGTTGGTGTTCAGTTTAATAATGTTTTTTTAGAGACTGAGACAATCTTTTCACATCTTAAGTCATTTAAACTCCAGATTGGAAACTTTGTTTTCCAACAGTCTTCTTTGTTTGAGCTTGCATTTATCTCTTATGTTCCCTCACTAATTATTTTCAGCCCTACGCTCAATGGTTGATCATATTTCAAAGGATGTTACGCAGATGATTGCACCGCTTAGTAATATTGAAATCAAAGGTGCATTTATCCAAACCATATGATCATATTTTATAATGGTAATACTGGCAAGCGTTCTGCACGTGGATGCGAATGATTGAGTTTTTTTTCACTGCAGAGAACGTGTGTGTCACATTTTGTTCTTTTAAGTTATTTGTACTGCGACACATTTCTTCTCATCTTGCTCTTCCTTTTATGTAAAGCCAGTGTGGTTCTTTGGAAATAGCCGGCCTCATTACATCATTGAATATTTGTCTTGTTGATGGTTGTCTCATTCATCACATCAGTGTCTGTTTTTGTCCTCTCAGTCGCGCTCTCCAGATTGTGCATGATTCTAATATTGCTCTGTTTGAGGCTTGTTTTGTTTTTGAGTCTCCTGTCAGTGTGACATGAGATCAGAGGCAGCATGCATGAGTTTTCACTGTTTCTTTTTAAGCGCAGAAACACATTTTTGGTGCATTTGCTTCAATGCAAATGACGCATAACATTTTGTAGGAGACGGTTTGTTCCCGGCTTAAGGTAATATGTCCGTACTTCAAACTCGATTCATTCTGGTGAATCCTCTCAAGTGTAAAATAATGTTAGGAAACTGAGAGGATGTTGTATAAGCAGCTGCATAATGCTGGACAGTAACAGCACAGCTGAAGTTTGGAACTTTTTTCCTGCATCGTTGACCCTCTGTTCATCCTGCATGTGCAGCTACTTCACTAACGCATGCTCATTAAGAAGTCTGTTACAGCCTTTATAGATCATCGCTCCAAAGGTTTGTTTCTACTGTAGGATTGAAATTCTGCTCATACTGATCATGTGAAATGATAGTGAAAGTATGGAAATATGGCAAACTTGTGAGCTCAGGTAATCCGGAAAATGTACTTTTCTGGCTTCACGTTCACCTCTCTGTCCTCTGCATCATCGTCTCTGGTTGTGTTCTGCTTCACATCGATGGCTGGCCTGAGCCGCTTCCTGTCTGTCCCCTGTCTATCATACTTTCTTTCTCTCTTTCCATCCCTCCTTTTTTCTGTCTCTGTCTCTTCCTCTGTGTCTCTACCTGGTCTGACCTCCACAGTGTATTCAAACACTTCAGGTTGTTCGGAGCCAATGGGCATGAAGTCCCGGTTGGTGTCCGACCGTCAGATCACGTCCTCCAGCACCTTCCGCACCTGGGGCATCGAGGCCTTCACCTGGCACCCTCACTACGCCCGGCTGGACAAACAGGGCAAGACCAACGCCTGGACCGCCGCCACCAACGACCAGTCTGAGTGGCTGCAGGTAGGAGAGGAGGACCGCACACAGCTGCACATTGTTGTTTTTTAGTTCGCCCCTTTGCTGTGTTTAAGTTTGTGATTTCTGTGTCCTCAGGTGGACCTGGGGTCTCCCAAGAAGGTCACAGGAGTCATCACACAGGGGGCCAAAGACTTTGGCTCCATCCAATTTGTCACAGCCTTCAAAGTGGCTCACAGTGACGATGGGCAGTCCTGGACTATCGTGACGGACAAGACCACGGGGACGGACAGGGTCAGTCCAGATGTTGCCAGAAACAGGCTTACAAAAAACTGAATTGATCCAAATGGGGGAAAAAAAAACGAAAGACAAAATCTGAAAAATCATTAACTCAAGAAAATACGCAATACGATACAAAAATATGAACTTAATTAAAATAATAATAATAATGATGATAGTTGTTTTAGATTAAAGAACTAATAATTGAGCTTTACCCGCTGGTCTACACACCTGGAGCCAATTAGGTTGACACTGGTTTTGATTAGTTTGCATTCTGTGTGCATTCATTTATAATGCATCCAAAAATCTATTTCCCGGTCATTAAATCAAGGATGTGGAACAATAACAGTTTCCTCTGACTCAATCGAACATTTATAATTTAAGTTCAGTTTGTGATTTGAATTTAGTTAACTCTGCTTTTCCTCTGTGAACTTTAGGCGTTCACTGTTTTTTGTCCTCTTTTCACTGTGCCAGAAATTATTTTCATATATCTATAAGCTCATTGTTGCACTCATTTGAAGTCAAGTTGTTTAGGTGTGCTTTCATCATGAGAAAAAGAAATGACAATATAACAATATGTAAACTAAATAATGTGAGAAAGTAAACAAGCTGTCCAAAAATGTTTAACTTAAAAAGACACCAATATTTTCCGTTAGTATTTAGTAGAATAGCAGAATAGATCGTGAAGGCTAACTGCAGCTATGATCTGTGTGGTTTTGATCGGCTGTTATTCTCCGTCCAGATCTTTCCGGGCAACAGCGACAACAACGTTCACAAAAACAACATCTTCGAGCCCTCGTTCTACAGCCAGTACATTCGCATCCTGCCGTGGGAGTGGCATGAGCGCATCACCCTGCGAATGGAGCTTCTGGGCTGTGACGAGTAGTGCTGTCCTGATCCAGCCTCCCCCTGCTCCTCCTTTCTCTACCTCCTCCCCCCCCCCCCCCCCCCCCCCCCCCCCCCCCCCCGCCCC